CACCAGAGGCTATCCAGGATCAACCCAGTCAACCTCCGTCGAGCATCAGCGATGTACGAAGAACGCGAACAGGAAGAATCGTCAAGACCCCAGTACGCTTCGCTCGGGGGGGAGTACTGTAGCCGCACCGCACGACTACATACCTACCAGTTACCAGTACCACCGAATACCTTACCATATACCTTCCACAATACCTTTACCAAAAGTTTTAGACTTACTTCGTTTTAGAAACAAGAAACAAATTGTCTTGAAAAAGACAGTTTACGTTTTGACTCCGTTTTTAGAAACAAGAAACCAATTGTCTTGAAAAAGACAGTTTACGACTCTCTCGCATAGAAACGATAATAATCACTGCGGCAACAGCGTTATCACACCGTGCCGCGAGCGATCGCTTCGAAAGAAGCGGTTTGGTTAAGCAAGCAGCCAAGCAGCGCAAGCGGAGCCGGAGCCGGAGCACTTGCATTCATCGTATATTCTTCATTGTTCATCTGTAGGTAGTCTTCAGTCTTCACTCGACGCCGGCGCTCGCAGAAATGCGCGCGCTCGCGCCGCGCGGTCATACTTATACGGAAGGAACCGATAGTGCCGTGTGCAAAGCGGCGCCCCTCACCCCGCGCGCCCCGCGCACGCCGGCGCGCCGCTATTGGTCGAAACTATCACCTAACTATATCTGATATTATCTAATTGTAAATATGTAAATAGAAATATAAGTAGCGTAATTTAGCGAATAAAATCATTCTGGTTCACACCTCTCATCGGAGTTTTACTACTAATAGAAGAAAAGAAGAAACCTCCTCTAGGACACTAGGCTCTCCTACCTAGCTCCTAAAAGTCCATTATAATTGACTACTAGACTGGACTATTGGACTTCTTTACATAAGAGAGTTTGTCATACTATACACATTTCATAGCTGGGTTGGAGAGCGCAATCAAAATTTTTACTTCATATGTTTGAGTCGGAATCAATGAAACTTATAATAACTATTTTTGTTTGTTTCAGGTCAACGATCGCTGAACAGAATGTTTTCCTTATGCCGACGTTACAAAGATGATCACGGTAAGGTTATTGTAAATACATATCTAGTTTCTGAAAGCGGCATATCCTGCCGACCAATGCTCGGTTCCAACGTAATTAAAAAAAAAATCGTTCAAATTCACTCAGTCGTTTTGGCTTGAAAAAATGATATCGTTTGGTATTAAAATATTTTTTTTTATGAGATAAGCCGGTATACGTACAGACGGTTCACCTGATGGTAAGCAATCGGCGTCGCCCATTGGCAACCGAAACACCAGAGGCGTTACAAGTGCGTTACCGGCCTTTTTGGCAATTAGGAGTTTGAGGATTGTGGGGGATTCGGGGATTGGGGAACTGGGGAAGGGGGTAATTGGGCCTCCGGTAACCTCACTCACACGACGAAATACAACGCAAGCGTTGTTTCACGTCTGTTTTCTGTGAGGCCGTGGCGTGGTATAACTCCGGCCGAGCCGGCCCATTCGTGCCGAAGCATGGCTCTCCCACCCTTAAAATTTTCTGTAATATTATAGAAAAAAATCAGACGTGTACAATATTTATAATATAAATTATCTTATGGTACTTCTATCAACAAATAACGATATTAATAATTCAAAAGAAACGTGTTACAGCATTTATATCGAATACTATAGTATATTATTACATCGCAATATCCCCGACAAACCATTAAGTATCCTTGACACTATTTCGGTTGTAACACAACGCACTTATTGTTAATCGCTGTACAGTCTTGGAATACTGCCATTGAACATGTGAACTGTTTTCCGAACAGGAACCATGGACTCTTGCCTTGTGTGTTTTGTATACATTTAATAAAATCGTGGAAAGGTCAAAACTGTACATTAAATATTAAAAAAAAAGTAATACTTGGGGCACAATCTACAATCGACACCGAAACCAAAAATATTGTTTTGAGAATTTTTGTCTGTTTGTCTGTATGTATGTCCGGACTAAACTCATAAAAATACTGCATAGATTTACTTTAAATTTTGCATGAATATTACAAACAGATCAGGTCAATATATAGGCTACATATAATCACGCTATCACCTATGAGAGAGAGGCTGTGAAGAACTATCAAGTCACTATTCCACGCGGAAGAAGTCGCAGGCATCTAACTACATAAACATAAACATAACATCACGCCTTTTTATCCCCGAAGGGGTAGGCAGAGGTGCACACAGAAGTAACACCCACTTTTCACTACTACCCACTTTCGTTATGAGTCCCATGTAATAGGGGGTGAGCCTATTGCCATATACCGGGCACAATTCCAGATTCTGTGCCCCTACGGGGTTTTATTTTTTTAAAAACCCAGTAATACTTTCCCCGACCCGGGAAGTGAACCCGAGACCCCTTGCCCGGCAGGACAAGGGGTCTCATAACATACAACATGGGACTCATAACATAAATAGTGAAAAGTGGGTGTTACATTGTACAGTGGCATAATGTGCATCTCTGCCTATCCCTTCGGGGATAAAAGGTACTAAACCGTCTCCTAAGTATTACAAATACTTTTCTGAAAACCACATCTAAATCGATTCAGACAATCGTGAGATAATCACGCACATACATACATAATGAAGGTCAAATTTAGAACCTCCTTTTTTGAAGTAGGTTAAAAATATACACCTCAAAATCGCACTGTACCTAGCAATCTGAAAGCAAGACAGACATACACACATTCACAATTGTAAAGTAACTAAAATCGCGGGTTACTCACGTGAATATACCTACTGAGAAAAGCTCTACTAGTTTCGAACCACAGAGGGGTTCTTCCTCATGAGCAGCGTGCGCGGTCCCAGCGATGTGGGCTGCGCGACATCGGTATCGGCGATGTAGGTTTGAAACTAGTAGAGCTTTGCTCAGTATATTCTCGTGAGTAACCCGCGATTTTAGTTAATTTAGTATGTCTCACGTTATTATAAAAACATAACATACATTTTACATAGTTTCATACTATTTTCTATTCCAAACCTTATAATAGTTGTATTAAGGTGTAAAATGCCATTTGATAACAAATAAGAAATAAAGGCCTTTAGGCTCATATAGGCTCATTTTGAACTAAGCGTTTCGCACTTTAATTTTAATAATGAAATTATATTCGTATGATTAAACTCAAAGAGCTTTCGGCTTCGGAGGACAAAGTTTGATGTCCTGTGGTTACATTTTAATGGGTTTTGGGGTAAATAGTTAAGTGGCAAAAATTAGAGGGCCCTGTACCCTTGATAAGGGTCTGCTATCTATGTCGAATTCGCTGATAGATAGTTAAATAGTGAAAAGTGGGTATTACATTGTACAGTGGCATTAAGTGCCGTAATGTGCACCTCTGCCTACCCCATTGTGGATAAAAGACGTGATGGTGAATAGCAACAGAGACTTACTACCATAAATTGGGCACAATTTGAAACACTTCTGTATATCTTATTATATGTCGTATAATAAAAAAATACTTAGATAAAACGAATCAAAGTTTAGGAATGGGAGCTTAACTCGTCGAGTACCGGTTTTGTAGACACAATTATAGAACAATAGGTTGCGGTTACCGGTGACCGCTTGGTGTTTGACAGTTTAAAAGACATTTCTACGTATAAAATGTACATAGAAGTGACGTCACGCGACATTTCAAATCAACATATCGTCGAAAGTATTCGTTTCTGTAAGAAAATAAAAAATACGTGTCTAACGATTTAAAATAATCTACGAAAATAAAAATTAGGCATCTACCCTATTCTAGAAGAGTCTATCAAATACAAAGTACTAAATTCACTTTTACGTTTATAATGTGAGTTAGGGATACTTGTAGAATGAAAATTACTATTTTGTTCTCCCAATTTAGCCATTTTGTCCACACAGACGTGCATAAGCCACAGTCTCAACTAGGCTGTAACTTAATTACTGCAGGGCAATGCAAGCGTTCATTCAACTGAAACAACAATTTGGACTTAATTCTATTGCTTTATTTTATTTTTCATACATTTTTATTCATTTACTAGCGGTGAATCTCAGTTTTATTTCATCTATTGGAATTCTCAATCGGGTTTAGCTGTTTTTAAGCTTTGTACTCAGAATCAAATTTGGCGCCTTTTAATTATCGAAGGGGTCAGTAAAATAAGGTAGACTAACCTCTTTGCTAAGTTGGGAATTGTCTTTTTTATTTATTACAAAACAGCTTTAACAAAACATTGCCCCACACTAAGATTTTCTCCTGTGTCGTGGGTGCGTTTACAAAGAAACAGTTTTACATACTAAATAGAATTTCATCTACTAATTGCATATATATACTAAAAATATATGAGTGTTTTTTTGCGTAATGTTTTTTATTATTTACCTAGTTCTTGTGTTGATTTTAACGTCTTATTTACCTTAAGTCTTGGTTTTGTTTACATAATTTGGTGCGGTGTCTAGGTGACCGGATTCGGTTCCAGCGCGGAACAACTCATTTTGTGATTCACAAATTGTTGTTCTGGGTCTGGGTGTCATGTGTATGTGAACTTGTATGTTTGTAAACGCACCCACGATACAGGAGAAAATCCTAGTGTGGGGCAATGTTTTTCTTAAGCCTATACCTGGAGTTTAAATGCATACGTATCTTTCAATCTGAAAATAAATAATAATGGCCGCCGAAGAAATGGTCTCATTTATTTCATAACGGTTGAAAAGAATGTAAAAGGAAAAAATAATGAGTTTCGTTTATTAAACTCAAAAATTGTGAATGTAACCATGAAATCGTTCTGAATAACATAGTATGACGTATCTTATTGTAAGAAGGGATACTCAGCGGAGATCTTTACAGTACATACATGTGTTGCTTATTATTTTTAAAAGTTTTCAGTACCTCTGTGTAATCAGTCGAACCTGCTAAACATTATGTACAAATCCAGTCGTATGTTTTTGTAGAATTTTGAAAAAGGAAACCTTAACAAAACTTTACTCAATCTAAAGTGAGACTTCGTTTACTGACTTCATCTTGTGAATAAGAAATTATAATTACTTAGTTTGTCATATTGTCTTATTGCTGGTCTAGAACCTCTTTTTATACAGAAGGAACGAGCATTGATCACCACCGTTAAACAGGGCTGTCGAAAATAATCTTCTTTTTTATTTTAATGTACTTTTTTGCGAAAAATTTTTGCTCAGTCTGTACAAACCCTAAAACAACAGATGCAGACACAGCGAGTACCACGTTGATTTATGTCTTTTAAAGCAAAAACAGCGCTTTTTACAAAATTTCTCTCAGTACGGCCAACCTTGTATATTTCATTGTTGGTAATGAGCACATTTATTGTGCTCTACGCTTTATAAATTACAGCGATGTAATGCTTGAGTTTGTTCGAGTCTTAGGGGTATAAACAGACTTTGAGGTTTGTTAAGAAATAAATATTTTAGTTTTGAGAAATGTGTTTTGAATTATTAATGTCTTGTGGAAATTATTTTCGCTTGAGTTCTTTCTCTCATTTGTATTGTGAAGTTGTGTTTTTGTTTTCATATTTGCTTGGTAACGTGACGCAGTTGAAAGAATTTTCAATTCGGGTTTTCAAACAAATTGTTATGAAGTGCTTACCCACTAATCCACCATAACAGAATTTTCTTAAGAAAGTTTAGCATAATATTTGCTACCATAGTATTTCGATGTAAACAATATGATCTTTTCAATAAATAAAATTTTATTTTAAATAAGAAACCAAGGTACACCAGCACGTGTCCTGCCGACCCCCTCAGTCACGTGTAGGGTTACACGCGCAAGTCTTTCACATTCATAAAGCTTTTGATGTGCACAAGGTAACACTGTATCGCCATTGGTATCTTATACAGACATACAGTTGACCTTGCGAACACAGCATAAAAGAATTGTAAAGGATATTCTTTCTAAGAATTCTTCAAGTATGTTTTTTAAAAGATATAGAATTTTTGTTGCTTTTTATTGCAATTCTAGGAAGGTATTTTTTTTTTAATAGGGGATAATCATCGAATGGCTGCTCCCGCCTGGGTGAGGCGGGAGGGAGTGTCAGACTCTTACTGAC